TCCGCGACTCCACCACCCTGACGCCGCTTCCTGTCCCAGCTGCTGTCTCTCTTGCTGACCGCTCCGGCGGTCCGGTCGTCGCCCGCAGTTCCACCACCCTTCCCTGTCCGGCGGTTCCTTCGGGCTCTCTCACAGGTCTGCATATCCCCTCGTTCTCCAGGAACCTAGTTGGTGTCGGCTGCCTCCAGGACCTTGGCGTCACCACTACGTTCCCTGGTCACGAGCGGTATGCTGTCTGTACCGAGGCCGCCACTGGTGCCCCCCTGTCCACGTTCCCCCATGACCCGGTGTCCGGCCTGTTCACTCTGGACACCGTGACCCCCCCGGCTGGGGCGCCTCCTCAGGTGGCTGCGTCTACCCAGGTTGCTGCTGCCTGCTCCTGTCGGTCCCTCACTCACCCGACTCTCCTTTGGCACCACCGCCTAGGTCACCCTGCGCTCCCCCGTCTGCGTCACATGTCCCAGCACGGTCTTGTCCTTGGTCTCCCAGGTTCCCTCCCCGCTTTTCCCTCCTCCCCAGCCCCACCTTGCACGCCTTGTGTTGAGGGTTGGCTTCGCCGTGCCCCCCACTCCTCCTCGTTTCCCCCTACCGCCGCGCCGCTGCAGTCCCTGCACCTGGACGTCTGGGGCCCCGCCCCCGTCCCTGGGCCGCGTCGAGAGCGCTACTTCCTTGTGCTTGTCGACGACTTCACTCGTTACACCACAGTCTTTCCCCTGGAGCGCAAGGCCGACGTGCCTGGCGCCCTCATCCCCTGGCTTGTCTCTGCGCGTGTCCACCGCGGTCTCCCAGTCTTGCGTCTTCACTCCGACCGTGGTGGCGAGTTTGCCTCAGGTGTCCTTGGTCGCTTTTGTCGTGCGGAGGGCATCACCCAGACGTTCACCCTACCGGACTCCCCACAGCAGAATGGGGTCGCTGAGCGACGCATCGGTTTGGTCATGGAGGTGGCTCGCACCTCCATGATCCATGCCGGTGCACCCCATTTTCTGTGGCCGTTCGCTGTGCGCTACGCTTCTCACCAGCTTAACTTGTGGCCGCACCCTCAGCAACCGCAGGTTTTGCCGACTCGTCTTTGGACTGGGTCTCCTGGTGACGCGACTGCGTTCCACGTCTGGGGCTGCCTTGCTCACGTTCGTGCCTCCGGCACGGACAAGCTCACTGCCCGCACCCTTCCCTGCGTCTTCCTCAGTTTTCCCCTTGACGCGTCCGACTGACACTTTTACCACCCGCTGTCTCACCGCTTCTTTCACTCTCGTGACGTCACCTTTGACGAGTCCGTCTCCTACTACCGTCGCTTCCCTCACCGTGGTCCCCCGGTTACCCCCCCCCTGTTCCTGGTCACTCCTTCCCCGGTAGTCCCTGCCCCTCCTCCTCCTCCTCCCCGTCCCGCCCCCTCTGGTGTGTCCCACGTCACCCCCCTTCCGTCGGTGGACCCGGTTGAGGAGTCTTCTGACTCTGGTGGCCCTCCTGTTTAGTCCTCGCCGGCCGCCCCTCCCCTGGCGTCCCCTCCCCAGTCCCCCCCTCCACCGCCTCTGCCGCCGCTGCAGCCGTCGTTGTCGCTGCCGCCGCCGCCGCCGCCGCCGCCGTCGCAGCACCCGTTCGCTGACTCTGGGGGTGCTCATCCCGGTAGCCCTGGGGGTGGTCCCTCTGAGGGTGCTGGTGTGGAGAGTGCCGGTGGTAGCCGAGGAGCAGCTTGCGGTCCCGGTGTCGCCGTTGTGCTGCCGCAGCAGCAGTCCCCGCCGGTGTGAGCCCTTCGCCTGCTCGGCCTTCCGTCCCCCGACCCTGCGTCGGTTCCTCCCCGGCCGTCTCCTCCTCTTCCTGTCTACGGCCCTGTCTTCCCTCTGCCGGACTCGTCCCCGGCCCGTCTCCCCCCTCGTTCCCCTCCTGTGTCCCCTCCTCTGTCTCCTGACCCGACTCCTCAGTCGCACGTCTGGTCTCACCGTCCCTCCCGCGCTCGTCCTGCCTCGCCTGTCTTGCGCTCCCACCCTATGTTGCTTCGTTCCCACGCGTCTCGTCCTCCCCTTCTCCCGTCGCCTCCTCCGTCCTCCCTTGTTGTTGCACCCCCCCCACTGTCTGACTACCTTCGTGCCGCTCGTCCCCTTGTTCCTTGGGTCCTTGCCTCTCTCGTTACCGACCCGTCTCTTCCGACCTCGTGCCTTGACGCTCTTGTCGCTGCTGTCGCTGCTGTCGCTGACTTCACCTCTACCCGCCGCCTTGACTACGCCTTTGCTCTGGTTTCTGACCCTGCCTGTCCTCCGTCTGTCGGGGGTGCTCTTGCCCTTGGCAGTGACGTCCTGGAGGACCGCCAGTTCGAGCTTGCTTTCCTCTCCGAGGCTGCTCCCCATCTGTGTTCCATGCTGCTAGTCCCTGAGGGTGACCCAGACGCTTTCGACATCCCGACCCCTCGCACTTACGCTGAGGCGACTTCGGGACCCTGGGCCTCGCAGTGGATAGCTGCCATGGAGCAGGAGATGGCATCTTGGAGATCCACCGGCACCTTCGTCGACGCAGTTCCCCCACCTGGGGTGAACGTAGTCGATGGCCGCTGGCTCTTCAAGGTGAAGCGCCCTCCTGGAGAGCCGCCTGTATTCAAGGCGCGCAATGTCGCTAGAGGCTTCAGTCAGCGCGAGGGGGTGGACTTCTTCGAGACCTTCGCTCCGACCCCGAAGATGACTACTCTTCGGGTTCTGTTACACCTAGCTGCTCAGCGTGACTACGAGCTTCACTCCCTCGACTTCTCCACTGCCTTCCTTCAGGGCAGCCTACACGAGCAGGTCTACCTGCGGCGCCCTCAGGGCTTCACTGGCACCTTCCCTCCTGGGACCCAGTGGCTCCTGCGGCGCCCCGTCTACGGCCTGCGCCAGGCTCCCCGTGAGTGGCACAACACTCTCCGTGCTACGCTTGCTGACCTGCAGTTCTTTCCGTCTTCTGCAGACCCTTCACTCTTCGTTCGTGCTGGCCAGACTCCGTTCTACATCCTTGTTTACGTCGACGACCTGGTCTTTGCCACAGCAGACAGGGACGCACTGGCCTCCGTGAAGGCAGAGCTGCTGAAGAGACACACGTGCACTGACCTTGGAGAACTGCGCGCAGATCTCTAGGGACAGAGCTGCGCGCACCATCACCCTGACTCAGTCACACTTGGTGCGCCAGGTCCTTCAGAGGTTCAGCCTTCAGTTCTCCTCTGCACAGCCCACCCCTCTGCCTGTAGACCACAGACTCTCCGCTCCAGTGTCTGAGGAGTTGGTAGAGCCCAGCGGTCCCTACGCAGAGCTGGTGGGTTGCCTCATGTACCTGATGACTTGCACTCGCCCAGATCTCGCATACCCTCTCAGCATCCTGGCTCGCTTTGTGGCCACAGGCAGACACCGACCGCAGCACTGGTCTGCCGCTAAGAGGGTTCTGCGTTATCTTGCTAGTACATCAGGCATGGGGTTAGTGCTAGGAGGACGCAGGCCAGTGGTCCTTACTGGACACACAGACGCTTCGTGGGCAGACGACGCTGAGACACTCAGGTCTACCCAGGGCTACTGCTTCAGCCTTGGCTCAGGTGCCGTCTCGTGGAGAGCTACCCGCTCCTCGTCTGTTGCGCAGTCCAGCTGTGAGGCTGAGATCTACGCTGGTGCCATGGCGGCACAGGAGCTCCGCTGGCTGACCTTCTTGCTCACTGACTTAGGTGAGCGGCCTAGCTCTGCCCCGGTCCTGTTCGCTGACAACATGTCCATGATCCTCCTGTGTCAGGAGCCTCGACTCGAGGGCAGAGCAAAGCACATTCAGCTGCGGTACTTCCTCCTGCGTGAGCTACAGCAGCGACGTCCGGCTCGCGTAGTACACTTGGCCTCAGGTGCCAACACGGCTGATATCTTTACGAAGGCGCTTGTGCCTAAAGATCATCAGCGGCACTGTGTACAGCTCGGTCCAGTTCCTGTAGCCTCTCACTTGCTAGGACCTTGACTTTGTACTGTCCTTTATACCTATACTCAGACTGGACTTGTGTCCTCTCCCAGTGGCTGGACTAGTAGTGCCGCCCTGCTCTTGTTCTTGCCTTGTTTGTACTCCTTCTGACTGGTCTCTCAGACCCTTGTCTCAGAGGTTGGACTAGTAGTGCCGCCCTGAGCTGTTTGTTTAGGGCATTCCCCTATGCAGTCTAGGGGGGGTGTCAAACATGTGTATTTGTCATATTTGTATAGACTGTATAGGGTCGCCTCTTAGAGAGTACAACACTTAGGTATATCTGTGTGTACTCTCACTCTATCAAATATTCACTTCTCACTTTTGATATCCTATACCATTTCCGGGAAATAAATCCTCATCCCATTTTCGACCACCTGTCCTCATCTTCATTCTACCATACTGTCACGAGAATTAGGTAGTTAGGAAGCCATGAAAATGGCGTAAGAGTTTAGCTAGGAGAAAGTTGACGAGAGAAAAGAGGTCAAGAATAGAAGAGAGAGGGATACAAGGAGGGGTGTTGTACCCTCTACAGTAAGTTTTAGTAATGCCTACCAAGCCTACAATTAAATAACATATATAATTGAACACACCCCCTAGGCTTGGTAGTAGAAAAACCCACACACACAGGATGTCACGGGATCGAATGTCTCGAGGAAAAGTTTCACTATCGATTGATACAAGGCGCTTTTATACTTCCAGAGTACATCAGGTAACCACGTTTATCCTATCCAAAGGAAATAGACCCTTCTAGAAATAGAATCACCCTGCGTATAGCCATGCGAGGCTATTGGCTTTAAGGGATTACGGCAGGATTAAAACGCCCAGTACATCCCAAGCCTGGTCGGTGATATAATTATAATAGCAAGATAACCCAAAGGATAATGGAAAATGGAGAATAGGAAACCAAATGAGATGGGATAAAAGAGAAATAAAATAGGAAGGAAATAAGAAAAGGCCAAGTGGTGTAACGGGGTCGTACTCTTACACTTCCCCCCCTCAAAGCTGGGTGGTAGAAGTAACACCCTGCTTAATAAGGTAGTCATGCAGACGACGACGGGCGTTACCCATGTCGGACTCAGGTACCCAGCTGTCCTCAGAAGGATCATAACTCTTCCAACGAATGAGAAGCTCCACGGTGCCATTCCGACGACGGCGATGTGCAAGCACGGACTCGACCTCGTACTTGGGTTCATTCTGGACGAGGACGGGCGGCGGCGGCGGCGGTTGGCGTCCGACGAAGATCGTGTTCGGATCTTGATAGGGCTTCAGAAGTTGGACATGGAAGGCATTGTGAATCTTCCAGGTGGCTGGCAGGCGTAAGCGGAAGGTGACAGGAGTGACCTGTGCTTCAACGAGGAAAGGCCCGCAGAAGCGAGGTCGAAGTTTAGATGGGAGATGGCTGATGTCAAGGTTGCGGGTGTCGAGAAGCACCAGGTCTCCCACGGTGATGGTGTGGCCGTTGTGATGGCGATCGGCCTGGCGCTTCTGTTGCTGCTAAATGTCGAGGAGGCGCTTGTGGGTCCGATCCCAAAGCTGATGCATGGTTGTGATGAAGTCGTGTGCAGGTTGGACTGTTGCTGATGTTGTCGGTTTTTGTGGTGTGAGTGGGTGGTGTCCTTAGCAGAGGAAGAACGGCGTCTGTCCAGTAGCGGCATGTGTAGCGCTGTTGTAAGCAAACTCTAAAACGGGCAGGTGCAAGTCCCATTTGGAGATGTCGTCCTTGCAGGTTGCTCGGAGAAGTTGCTGCACAATTTTGTTGAGGCGCTCGGTCTGTCCATCTGTCTACGGATGGTAAGCGGATGACATGGAGAGTTTGGTCCCGAATAGAGACATAAGTTCCTTCCAGAACTTGCTGGTGAACTTGGGGTCTCCGTCGGAGATAAGTGTGGTTGGAATGCCATGCTGTGAGATGATGTATCGAACGAAGAGTTGTGTTGTTTCTTTAGTGCGTGCTGTCGTGTGTGTCGGGATGAAGTCTCCCATTTTGGAGAACTTGTCGATGGCGTCAAGGATTGCGTCATGACCGCTGGTGGTCGGCGGTAACCCGGTGATGAAATCCAGGCTAACCACTTGCCATGGTTGTTCTGGGACAGGAAGAGGCTGTAGCAGTCCTGCCTTCTTCTGCTTACTGCTCTTCATCCGTTGACATGTATCACACGAGGTGACGAATTTCTGAACATCTTCTGCCATGTGGGGCCAGTAGTAGTGCTTTGCGATACCAGTCAGCGTCTTGTTGCTACCGAAGTGTCCGGCGTAGAGGACGTCCTGGTATTCTTCAAGTAGTAACTGGCGCAAAGAAGGGTAATTTGGTACCCAGATCTTCATTGATCCCTTCCGGTACGCGATGTCGTTGTCCCACTGTAGCAGATGTCGCTTTTCTGCCAAGGGAATTTCGGGGTCGCTGGTGTACGCGTGTGTGAAGAGTCCCTTGAGGAGTGGATTCATTCCTTCAAGCTAGATGGCGGCAACGTGTGCAGGCCGGCTAAGGGCATCTTCTTTGTTTTTGTGGTCGGGCTTGTACACGATGTCGTAGTGGAAGTGTGTCTCGAGGAAGTCAATCCACCGGACCTGCCGCCTGGAGAGGCTTGGTTGTGTCTTCAAATATTTTAGGCTGCAATGGTCGGTGTAGACTGTCGTCTTGCGTCCTTCGAGATAGCATCTCCACGTTTTGAAGGCGTTGATGATAGCAAGGGCCTCCTTGTCGTGTATCGGGTAGTTGAGTTCTGCTCAATGTAAAAGGAGGAATAGGAATCCAAATTAGATGAGATAAAGACTAAATGAATCAGTAGAAAAAGGAGAACGAGATAGAGGAGAAAGGATGGAAATGAGAAAGAAGTGTAACGGGGTCGTACCCGAGCCTAGGAACTGCTGCAACTCCTTCACGTTCTCGGGTGTCTTCCACGTGCGTACGGCTTTGATTTTCTTGGGGTCGACGTGAACTCCTTGAGCGCTCACCACCTGTCCGAGGAATTGGACCTTCTGAAGGGCAAATTCACACTTGGACAATTTGACGTAAAAGCGTTCTCGTCGAAGCATGTCGAAGGCGCTTCGCAGGTGTTTGATGTGCTGCTGCATGTCGCGCGAGTAGATGAGGATGTCGTTCTTGTACACCACCATGCATTCATCCAAGAGTGGGCGTAGAATGTGGTTCATTTTAGCTTGGAACCTTGCCGGTGCGTTGGTGAGTCCGAACGGCATTACCACATACTTGTACGACTCGTATTGAGTTCGGAAGGCAGTTTGTGGATGGAATTGTCCGCCATTCTTATCTACCAATATCCGAACCGCATATCCAGTTTGGAAAATACCGTCGCTCCCCGAAGCTGGTCAAAGAGGTTATCGATTTGTGGAATCCTGTATTTGTTCTTAATTGTCTGCTTGTTGAAAGCTCTATAATCGATGCACATGCGCAGTCTCCCATCCGGTTTCGGTGTGAAGAGTACAGGGGCACCGTATGGCGAAGTGGATGGTTGGATGGCGAGGAGATACTCGATCTATTTCTTCATGTCAGCTAGCTCTGTAGGGCTGAGCCGATATGGTGCTCGAAAGGTTGGCTTCGAACCTAGTTCCTCTACGATCTCATGTTGGTGCGTTCGGTATGGTGGTAGCTTGTTCGGAAGGTCGCCAGAAAGAATGTCTTGGAACTCCTTCGGTAATTCCCTGATTTTTTTTTAAAGGTTCCGAGGTTTTCTCTTCGTCATCTTCCACACCTGTTGCTATCGCCAGGAACCTGGTGTCGGTTTGCTTTACGTCCTTATCGAATCTTGCGAGTGTCTCCACTGGGATATCTTCTGTATCGTCCTAATTGGGTAGCGGGAATCTCCTTCCGTAGCTGTAGATACTTGCACTACCGTTTACCCAGTTGATCTTGGGGTTGAATTTCTTGAGGAAGTCTCTCCCGAAGATCAGGTCAAGCCCTTTTATGTTGGTGACGGGGAGAGCAAGTTTCCAGCGCAGTGGACCAATTTGTAGGCGTAGCACTGCTTCACCGTACACTGGTAACTTGCTTCCATCCACCATCGTGGTAGAGAATGCTGAAGGCTTGTACTCTTCTCAAAGTTAGTCAATTTTTGCCTTGTCGCATATGGTGTGTGACACTCCGCTGTCCACGAGTGCGTGGAGGCGTCGACCTTTGCAGATGACCTCGAGCACGAGGGGCAGGCGTTGCTCGGAGTACCCAAAGATAGTTTCATTGATTGGGTCATAGGGTACATCTCAATATTCCGTACACACATTTTTTTACAATCTACTCCTAAGCCGGCAGCTGGCCGAGGCTGCTTGGAGAAATGCTCTTATCCTGGGGCCTTGTATTTGTGGTTGATGCTGAAGTTGTTGAGCTGGATGCATCCGAAGGAGGATTTCGGGGTTTTTGCAGCTTTTTATAGACCCCCAACTTCCACTTGAGTTGCTTCAGCCCCACCGACATCCCCTCTGGGGAACGGGTAGTCGTTGTGGGCTGGTGTCGGGAGAGGACGTTGACTCCGTGGAAAGGTCGGCTTCTTTCCACACTCCTTAATTTTGTCCCCAAGTTCTCCGGTACCGGTATGATCTCCACAATTTTATGCTTCTTCTGAAGTCCCTCCCGAAATTTCTCCAAGGCTCTAGCCCCTCGAGAATCATAAGTTTTCATTAAAGAATCCTTATAAGATAACTTTAACGAATCCTTATAATTTCTTGGGTCTTCTCGGAGTTTCCTCGTCCCGGTAGAGTCTTTTTTCGCGGAGCCGGATTTTTTCTTGACGATTTTCTCTCGCGAAGACTACTCGTGGGGTGGAGATTTCCCCCCATCGTTTCCTCCTGCTCGCATTGAATCAGCTTCGTCCATGTGGATTTTATGGAATCCCCCGGCTGTTTTCGGATATTTTCTTTTCCGCCAGCCAGATCCGCGATCACTGGCGATTCCCATTTTTTGTCTTCTGATTGGCCGAAGAATTTCCGCCATTGTTGCATGCTCAATACTCTGCATGTGCGGCTTTCATTTTGTTGCAGTCAAAAATTCGATGGCCTAGCGCCCCACAAAAATCACACGTGAAGTTGGTGTTTTTAGAAACGTGGCCGCCCGTCGAACGTGTCGATTTCCATCGGGTCGGCGAACGTGGGGTGAGCCGAGTGGTCGCCCTGTCACGTACTGCCGACGTGCGCCCGTCGTGTCCCAGCGTTGACCATGTCAAACCGTTCTGTTGCCAATACAACGTCACAGTAGCTCGTGTAATTTGTCGCTGCTACCTGTCGTTTGACTTCGGTCTTCAGCCCGGCGATTTACGACAGTACTTTTTCCCCTTCGGTCAGGTCGGGAATGCGGTTATACAATTCTTCCATCTGCTGCGTGTACTATGCTACACTCTCGAACTTTCGATGGCGATGATTTTTTTCCCGTGCAAGGAAACCCGAATTTATCGGCTCGAAACTGACAGCGGGTCGGTGAGGAACTGCTGCCATGTGGCTTCACCGTGGATGAAGGTACTGTTGCCGCCGATCCACTTGAGTGCCGGCCCTCGCATCAGTGTTGCCACGAGTCGTACGTGTTGACCGTCCCAGACTGGCGAGCTCCATTTGGCGTCTATGAAGTAGATCTCCATGCCGACGATCCATCTGCGGACGTCGGAATTTTGATCGCTCGGAGCGAACGGTTTAGGTGGGCACGATTCCGGAGCCTTGAGAAACTGCGTCGGCGAGTCGAGTTACTCGCTCGAACTAGTTTCGCCAAGCTTCACGGTCGGCTTGCGTCTACTCTTGTAGGGCGGCGATGCTCGCGAAGAGCTGCTGGGTAATCTCGGCGTTGTCAAAGTTCGCCATCCTGTTCAAAACACGCGCGGAGGGGGTAATAAAAAAAAACGCGGAGTTGGTGCTTACCCGAATTGGCCTCGAATTAGTCGCCCGTGGCGGTTTTTCGAGGTAGGCATTCCTGCTGCGGCTGCTTAGCTGAGCGCGGCTGAGTGAGAAAAGCTCTGATTACCAAGCGTCACATGATCGAATGTGTCGAGGAAAAGTTGCACTATCGATTGATATAAGACGCTTTTATACTTTTGAAGTAGATTATGTAACCAGATTTATCCTATCCAAAGGGAATAGACCTTTCTAGAAATAGAATCACCCTGCGTATAGCCACGCGAGGCTATTGGCTTTAAAGGGTAAGGCAGGATTACACTAGATATAGCGCGCCAGTACATCCCGAGCCTGGTCGGTGGTATAATGATAATAATAGGATAAACCAAAGGAAAAAGGAAAAGGAGGAATAGGAATCGAAATAAGATGAGATAAAGACTAAATGAATCAGTAGAGAAAGGAGAATGAGGTAGAGGAGAAAAGATGGAAATGAGAAAGAAGTGTAACGGGGGTCCTATTCTCACACACGACAAGCGGAGGGAGAAGGACAAAGAGGGAGTACCTGGAACATGGGGGATGGACTGAATGAGGAGCAGAAGAGGCAGATGCAAGTGGTGCTGGAAGGGGCCCGGGGAACTTTTCCTCACTCCTTATAGGAGCTGGGCAAGAATACAGGGCGGAGATGGCAATAGAACTGCAGAGCAAAGCCTCAGTGTATCAACGAAGGCGGCGACTCCGCCCCTGGGATAGAGACATAGCAGTGGCCAAGTGCAGAGAACTCCTGGAAGCTGGATTGATAGAGCTGTGTCGGGATAGGGCTTACGGGAGTACTATGAAGAGGAGGAGAGGAGAGACTAGGACCTACATCTCCCATGGATGGCAGCAGGGTACCGCTTCAGCAAGCAGCAAGCCCTGAGAAACTACTCCCCGTACTTCCTACTCTACGGGAAGGAGCCAGTGCTGGTAGTAGATGCCCCGTGCATCATGGTGGAGCCCATGACAAAGGACGACCCACAAAAGTGGGCGGCAATGGCACTGGCATGGTCCAGCTACAAGCGATCTGCAGTGCTAGCAGCACTGGAGAATCTAGAGGTGGCGCAGCTGAGGGATGCGAGACGCTACAACCAAAGGCGGCAGGGGACAGGGGAAAGCAGGGGGCAGCCACAGATGCTGCAGGTGGGGGATGAGGTATGCTGGAGTGCAAACTGAGCAGGGAGCGCTGGGAGGTGGTGAAGATGAAGGGCTCGGGAGTGCTTGAGCTGCGAGATTCTACGGGACGGCGAGTGCAGCACCATGAGTCGAATGTGGCGCGCGCGGGGGGGTTGCGGCCAGTGGGTGGGGACGCTGCACCAGCCGCGAGGGGGCAAGAGCAGGAGAAATCAGTAACGATCACGTATCGGAGGAGGAAGGAGAAGGCACCAAAGAAGCCGGTCTAAAGGGGAGTGCAGGGCCAACGGGAAGAGGGGATGCGACAGCTGTCGCACGATTTGACATAACAAATGGGTTATGGAAATTCGTGGGATTGCTTGGGAAGTTTAAGCGAAATGATTGGGAAGTCAAGTGGTGTACTGGGTAAAGTCAACAAAAGGGACAGTGATGGGTGCGCAGGCCGAGGTTGGGAGCAGTAGGGCGCTTCGACAGTTGGCAAAGGGACAGGTGGGAAGGGTACACACCAGCTGTGATGAGGGCGGTCCGGGGAAGAGGCATGCAGCCTGGCGAGAGGCAGCGTCGATGGGTGGCTGCACGGAGCCATCACGGAGGAGAAAACCCACAAAACGGTTAGAGGCTGGTCACGATCAGAAGGGTACGTCCTCCGGACTGGATCTGTGAGGAGGTAGCCACAAAACTGCGTGTGCGTAGTTGTGTAGCTACTTTTGTTTGTTCTCTCGTTGTCATAGTAAAGCGTGAATGCTGTGTAAGTAATGGATTCATTCGGGAGCATAGCTGGAACAATGTAGAGAGGCCAAACAGGGTGGTTGCGAGGGTGGTCCGTCAGCCCCAGTCCCCTTCCTGCCCTTGACAGCCCTTGACATTCCCACCCTGCCACCAGCAGGTCGACCTGCCCCCATCTTTCCACCACCTCCTCGGTGATGGCTGTCACATCATGCACCGCCTCAGCTTCCGCCTCTACCCGTGTAATTAGTGCTATCGTCAAGCGGTCCGGGTACTGCTCGTACAGGAGGCGAGCGGGAGAGATCAGTAACGATCATGTATCAGAGGAGGAAACAAAAGGCACCAGAGAAGCCGGTCTAAAGGGGAGTGCAGGGCCAACAGGAAGAGGGAATGCGACAGGGCCGCGCATGAGCGACGCTGTGAACTGAACCATTTGGTTGTCGTGAATCGTCGTTGACCATACGATCGCCACGAAATAATTTTTGATGGCTCCGATCCATCGACAAACGTCACACGATCTGTTGCTGGGGTCAAATGGTTCAGGTGCGCGAAACGAGGAGCCTCGGGTTGGCTCGTTGAGGACTGCTGCGATGTTGTTGCTGCTGCTTGGCGCGTTTGGACGAGTTCGCCACATAACTGTGCGACCTCCTTTAAAGGCGCGTTTTGTTCTGCTTCCTGCGCCTGGGTCGGCATTGAAAAAATAACACGAGGGATGAGTTGCGAAAAGCGTATTCTGTACTTACTTGTCGGCCTCGGCTTGAACTGGCTCGCCTGTGCGGTTTTCGAAGCCTCGGTCGCTAAAAGTGGTTTAGGCGCTGATTACCAAGTGACACAGGATCGAATGTGCTATGCGTAGTGTGAGAATGTAAATATAGAATGAATATTGAATGACAATCCCGAGGAACAACACAATTTATAGGCGAGCACTCGCAAGGTCCTCCGAGCGAGGCGCGAGTCTAGCTAAAATGTGAATGTTCCAGAAAGGAACCATTTTCCTCTAGAAGCAACCGTTCCAGAAGAGCTAGAGGATTCGCCGAAATACGGTGCACGCAACAGTTAATCTAGATAACACACACAGTTTGTGATAACCAAGAATAATCCAAATAACCATTTTGGATAAAATAATCCCAATGATTAAAAGGAGTATTCTAGGGAATCAATAGTGTCTTGGAAAATATAGAAATAGTCCTTTCTCCTAGGAAACCTATGCTGCTCTCACGTGCCTCTCGTCACTTAGGGGCGCTGTTCCAGTTCAGTCAGGAGGTTATTTTGGAACACCAAGTGCCCAACGTTTTTTGTCGGTCCATTGTTTTGCAGATTCCCATTGGACGGCGCGAAATCCAAAATGCCCGCTAGTCAATTCGAAATATGATCGCAGCCGTCAAATTGCGTTTTCGCAAATTTGACGGTCCACGACCTGCTTGCAATTCATGAGCTAAAACACCCTTGCGTTTGTTTGGCGTGTTTTGTGCAACCTCAGCTCAAATTTCATACGCAGTGCGTTTGAACAATTTGGAATGCGGGTTTTAAAACCATTGGCTAAAGAAGCACACCTTGGGCGCTCTTGAAAATTCTCCAAGGTTTCTTCAAGCTGCTCCTCTCAATCTTTCGTTGTATTCTTCTTCCTCCATTCCTCGACCTCACATCTTGCCCCTCACCTCCAGCGGTGTATTTTAGCATTCTAGCCAAGGCCATCCCACAATCAGGTAATGTCTTCGTTTCTCTCTCAACGCGTCGTCAACCTCCTGGTTTGCTAGTCATACTAGCATTTCCCTAATTTCTTTCCCTATTTCTCTCTCTTCTTATGCTCCTTCCTGTTTTCCTGTTTTCTAATCTCTGATCTCTATATGTGCTCTTGCTTGTTAAGGAACCATGGGTAATCACCTTTCAGTTTGATTCAAGGTACGGTTTCTACCCTCCCGCCATGCCCTTCTCGTCTACTCTCTTCCAAACCTTGACTCCTTTCCATACCTTGACTCCTTTCCAATTTGCTTCCGATTTTCGCTTCTTTTCCGATGCCATCACTCCCTCCCCCTTCCTTCGTTTTCAGTCCTTCTGTTCTCCCTGTTCCCCACGTCGCACTTCCTAGTTTTCCACGTTTTCTACGTTAGTCGATTAAATTGTCATAGTGTTTTCTCACTTCCTTAGGGTCGACTAAATTGTTTTCAGTCTCTTTCTCTCTCTCTCTCTCTCTCTCTCTCTCTCTCTCTCTCTCTCTCTCTCTCTCTCTCTCTCTCTCTCTCTCTCTCTCTCTCTCAAGCGGTCCTTTATTATGTTTATAAGGGGTACAGAGGTACAAAACACGGTTATGTGTGTCCTGGTGTCCCCGAGCATCCTACTGCTACCCGGGCCACCTGTCGCAGGTAGGTTCAATGGTGGCTTCCAGTTCTCCCCAGGTAAGAGGTTCGTCTAGGGGGCGGTCGTGTCTGAAAGCTTGGCCTGTCACCTGGCCAATTTTCGCATGGAGGGTGATTGCCTGCTGCCGCTGGAGGGTGACTGACCACCTCTGGCGATAGCTGTGCAGTACCTTCTTTGCCACCGCTGACTTTTCGTTGGCCTGGTGGTTCCGGCGGGCCGAGAGGGCAGCTAGCACTCGGAGGAACTCGAGTGTGTCGGGGGAGCAGCAGCCGTATGTCTCAGTGGCGACTCCCAGCACCTTCACAAAGGTGAGTCGTTCATCGTACAAGTCCTGCTTCTTGCCCTGCATCTCTGCCGCCATCCACCCCGTCCCTTTTCGTGTTGTTGGGTCGCGGGTTGAGATGGGGTCGGTGACTGTGACGTCACAGACCCATACCGCGCCTGAGTCCGGGCATCGGAGGGTGATGTCGGCGCGGCGTTGGGCAGTTTCGGGTAAGTAGAGCGTGGATTCCATGTGGGCCACGAAGTGGGATTCTCGGGCCAGTCGCATCCCGAGGTTCACGAGTGCGTCGTGGGTCCGCTTTGGACCCCCGCCCAGGGTGCATCGTAGCATGTGGTTGGGCAGCCGGTTGTCTGGTATCGCATGCTTTTCCCGGCAGTTGCATTTGCCGGGTAGGGAGTGCTGCAGGCCCATGCGGAAGGCTAGGGCCGTGGCAAATTGCCCCTTGCTCATGCTCAGGTCCGGGGAGAAGGGGATGGCGACTAGCCAGTCCCCTGCCCCTGGCCCGAGCAGGGAGAGGAGGCGCTGGGTGTGACCCAGGAGGGGGTTGAGTGGCATGTGTCTGGAGTCTGCCACTAGCCGTGCATGCCTGGCCTCGTGTACCTCCAATGCTAGGGCATGCTGGAGCTTGGCGCCAGGTTCGTCGCGCGGGCGGGTGAGTGTGGACTGTGCTGGTTCGGGGAGTGCCGCTTCCAGGCGGTTGAGCAGGTGGTGTAGGGGCGTTTGGGCGGTGAAGGGCGGAGTGAGGAGGTGGAGGAGGTCGGCGAGGGGTGAGGAGTCAGGGAGTTCCATGGAGCGGAGGAGGTCACCGGCCTGTAGTGCGGAGGCCAGGTAGCTGTAGCTGCCTTCCGCGGCGAGGTCAATGAGGCCAAGGCCTCCTATGGTGATCGGCAGGGTCGCCTGTCACCAGAGGAGATCTCGGCCTTCAGCGTCCCATGGCTGCTGGAGCTCGCATGACTTGAGCGCTGCCTCCAGCAGGGACTTCCCCCACTGCGTCCATTCCTCGGGGGGGAGGAGGTCGGTGGGGGTGGTGCGGAGGAGGTAGGATGCCCTCCTCGTGATGCAGCAGGTGAGGAGCAGCAGCGCGACTTGCGGGTGCAGTTGCTCTACCAGGGGGAGGGCCACTGCCGCTTTTCCGAGCGTGCGGTGGATGATGTCCCCGCATCCGTGGGAGGTGCCGATGGGGCTGCCCAAGACCTTGATTGCGTCTTGGGTGAGTGGTACTCCGGCAGGGATGAGCGCGGGGTCCACCGGTGCGGGAGACCACTTGCTGGCATTGCAGGTGAGTCCAATCGCTGCTGCCCGACCCGTGAGGGCATAGAAGGCGGCTGCGCAAGCCGGCGGCGGGCCGATGATGGTCACGTCGTCGGCGCATGCCAGTAGGAGGACGTCTGGGTACTCCTCTGCTGTCATGCTCAGCGCCTGGTGGAGGGCGAGGGCAAATAGCATGGGACCCAGCGGATCGCCTTGGCGTACGCCCCGCTCGCTGATGAGCGGGTCAGCGCCGAATGCGTGGTCGAGCAGCAGGCTCGATGGCCTTCCATAGGAGAGGCGGGTTAGGAGCAGCAGCCCTTTGAGCGGGCTGTCTCGTAGGGCGCGGAAGAAAGCGGTGCGTTTGACTGAGTTGAACGCGTTGGAGAAGTCCACCTGCAGGAGCAGGTGTTCGGGGTGCTGTTCAAGGTGGGTTCTTGTCGCGTGCACCACCGTTTCGCCCCCTCCCTTCATCGCCACTCCTATCTGCAGGGGCGCGAAGTGGGCTTGGGCCAGGGTCGTCGTGAGGTGCAGGCTGGCCTTGCCGAAGAGGCGTAGTAGGCACTCGCCGATGGCGATGGGCCTGGTGCCGCCGTTGGGTTTGGTGAATGCCAGCAGTCTCGAGGCGGTGAGGAGGTCCGCCGCCTCTAGCGGCACTTGCCCTGCGAGTGCCGCGTTGGTTGCTTCTGTGAGCAGATTCAGGACGTCAGCGTTCGAGGCGGCTGCGTCCCTCAGATGTTCGAAGCACATACCGCTGGGCCCCGCCCCAACCCCGTTCGGGCTCCGTCGTAGTACGGCTCTGAGCTCCCGTGGTGTGATGGTGAGACGCGGCGGCTGCGGCGCTGTATTGGCGTCAGTGGGTGTTGTGCTTGTGAATGTCGCCCAGTTGGGGAGGGCGTGTTCGGCGGCGGGGTGTTTTTCCCGGAGGGCGTTAAGTGTCTCCAGGGTGGGTTCGCACACCGGGGTGGATTCCAGGGCTTGGAGGGCCTTTCGCAGGTTCCCGCGCTTAGTGAGTGTTGCCGCTCGGGCTAAGTGCCCGGCGGTGTCATTCGCGTGGCGTGGGGGTCGTGGTAGTGAAATCGAAGGCACGGCTTCGCCGTACAGTGACTCCCAGGCGCCTGTGGCGAATTTGCGACAGCGTCGTAACATTCCATCCCAGTCCGGCTTCCTCGTCGACGTGGTTGCTGAAGGGACCGGATGAAGAACTCAAGTCGAAACCATTATATACCATGGGCTCTCTCTCTCTCTCTCTCTCTCTCTCTCTCTCTCTCTCTCTCTCTCTCTCTCTCTCTCTCTCTCTCTCTACCTCTCTTTCTCTACGTCTCTTTCTACCTCTTTCTTGATCTCTCTCTCTCTCTCTCTCTCTCTCTCTCTCTCTCTCTCTCTCTCTCTCTCTCTCTCTCTCTCTCTCTCTCTCTCTCTCTCTCACTCTTTCTCTCTCTCTCTCTCTCTCCCGCTCCCTCTCCCTCCCTCCCTTTCTCTTACCTTTCTTTTACATCCGCTCTCGCTGCTTCTCATACTCATCACTCCGCTCATAGTCATCCTCACCCAGTATCGTTTCTTTTTCCTCTTCTTTTTTATTCTTCGTGGTTCAGGTCTTGTTTGTAAGATGCTGGAGACGACAGCTATTTCTTTAATTGCTTTCTTTGTGTTCCATGTTTTGCTGCTGATTTTTTTTTTTTTCCTCTCTTTGTGCAATGCATTTTGTGGTTCTCAAAAAGTGGATTGTTCTTATTGTCAAACATATTGTGTATGTCTTACAGGCTAGATATGTGCGTACTCTTAGAGGGTGCAACCCCTTAGACAAAACCACCTTGTTTGCCTCATTCTAATCATTCTTTCTAACTTTGATATGGTATCACGCTAGGTTAGGCCCCCCCCGCCCACCTGCGCTTCCGCCTTAGGCCTAGTCCTAGCCGCCCATTCCTAGCTGCCCGTACCTAGCTTCCCATCGCTAGCTGCCCATTTCGAGCCGCCCGTTTTGAGCCGCCCGTTTTGAGCCGCCCGTAGCTAGCCGCCCGTAGCTCCGCGCCCGCTGGCCCCGAGTTCATCGGCAGCCCCGCACCTGCTGGCATCGAGCTTGCCAGCCCCGTGCCTTTTGGCCCCGCGCTCGCTAGCCCTGCGTCCGCCAGCCCAGTTCCCGTCGGCCCCATGCTAGCCAGCCCCACGCCCGTTGGCTCAGTGCCTGCTGGCCTTGTACCCTCTCGCCCGCGCTCGCTGGCCCCGCTTTCGCCAGCCTCGCACCCGCCTGCCCTGTGCCTGCCAGCCCCGTGCCCGCCAGCCGCGTGCTCGCCAGCCCCGTGCCTGCTGCCCCCGCGTTCGCCAGCCCCGCGCTCGCCAGCCCCGCTCCCGTCGGCCCCGCGCTTGCCAGCGCCGTGCTCGCTGGCCCCATGCCTGCTGGCCCCGCACCCACTCGCCCATGCTCTCTGGCCCCGCTTTCGCCAGCCCCGCACCCGCCAATCTCGTGCCCGTCAGCCCCATGCCCGCCAGCCCCTCACCCATGGCCTCGCGTTTGCCAGCTCCGCGCCCGCCAGCGTTGTGCAGCCCGCGATTGAGGCCTTTTCTGCTGCTGCACTTTCTCATGCTGTCTGGGAGTCAAGCGACACCATTGTGCAGCTTGCTATTTGTCTCACACTTCCCCTGTCTGAGTGCCCCCGCTTTACCACTATAGCAAACGCCCAGGAATTCTTAGATGCAGTCATCGCGCGCTATTCCATCCCCACCTTAGCCTCTACTGGCCGCATGATCCTTCCCATGTTGTTTTCCCTGATCTTGCATCCTTCCCTACTATCGCCGATCTTGCCACTCACCTCCGTGCACTTGAGACTAGCCACCGCGCAGATAGCACTGAGGCTCAGCTCACTGCCTTTCCCCCGCCTTTCTGTGCTACCCTTTACCTCATTGCCATGCGCCTCCCCGACCGCCTAGCCACTGCCCACGACCACTTCCTTAGTCAGCACCCAGGTGACCTCACCCTCCCCGCCTTTGTCACCAGCCTGTCTGCGATAGAGACCCACCAGCGCACTATTGTTTAGTCTAGCGGTACTTCCCCGGTCCCTATCTTTCACGTCTGTGCTCCCTCCCAGTGCTCATATTTTGACGTCTCTGCCGCTGTTGCTGAGACCGCAGCTGCGGCCTCAGCGCAGCCGCGTCTAGGTTGGGGCCGCCGCCCCAAGGTGGGGGGGTGGTGGAGGGAAGGGGCGTGTGGGCGGGACGGTGATTCGGGCGAGGGGACCGGGGAGTAGCAATAGCAGCAGCCGCAGCCTCAGCAGCGGCAGCCGTAGCAGACTCAGCAGCAGCATCAGCAGCCACAGCAACAGTCGCCGATGGGACCCCCGCCGCCGTGGTGGACTGGCGGCGCTGGTGGCGGTGGTCGTGGTGGCGGGTGGCGACTCCAGTGCGGTCACCTGTCAGCAGCTTCAGACCGGCCCCTGCTGCGGCACCGTCTGCGACCGTTTCGGCCACACCACCGCCCACTGCTACTGTCGCCTTGACGACCTCTTCTGTCACCACTTCAGTCCCACGTCGGACCCTCCAGACTGGTACGCCCTGGCTCGCCGCTGTGTGCGTGTCTTTGAGCTTCACATGGATCAGATTACGACAGTTATGTCTGTCATGTTTGTTGATGACTCTAGTGTGATTGGACCCTATTACTCGGTGTTGCCTAGAGTAGGTGTGTCCCTTGTGTGTAGTCTAGGCTCCCCTGCTGCGTCAGGCATAGGACCCTCTACCTTGTTTAACCTAGGTTCCACGCTAGCCTCTGCGCTGGCTGGCGCTACTGCCTTGCTTGACTCTGGCGCGTTCGCCTGATTCTTTCTCGACCACACTGCACTCACGCCGCTTGCTGCCCCCGACGTTGTAGCGCTTGCTAACCCCTCCTCAGGTCCGGTAGTTGCCCGTAGTTCCACTACCCTTCCCTGTCCGGCGGTCCCCTTTGGCTCTATTACAAGCCTACACATCCCCTTGTTCTCCAGGAACCTAGTTGGTGTCGGCTGTCTTCGGGACCTCGGCGTCACCACTACGTTCCCCGGACACGAGTGGTTCGCGGTCTGTACCGAGGCCGCCACTGGTGCCCCTCTGACCATGTTCTCCTGAGACCCTGTGTCTGGCCTGTTTACGCTAGACACTGCTTCCCCCCCGGTAGGGGCGTCCCCCCAGGTGCCTATGGTGACTCAGGTTGCTGTGGCTCGCTCGTGTCGGCCGCTCACTCACCTGTCGCTTCTGAGGCACAACCGCCTAGGTCACCCCGCACTCCCACATTTGCGTCACATGTCCCATCATGGTCTTGTCTTCGATCTCCCTGAGTTGCTCCCTGCCCTTCCTCCCTCACCTACGCCGCCGTGCACGCCTTGCGTCGAGGGCCGGCTTCCTCCTCACTCCTCCTCACTTCCCCCTACCACTGCACCACTCCAGACCCTACACCTGGACGTTTGGGGCCTAGCCCCTGTCCCTGGGCTGCGTCGAGAGTGCTACTTCCTACTGCTTGTCGACGACTACACACGCTACACCACGGTGTTTCCACTGGAGCGAAATGCCGACGTGCCTGACAATCTTATTGCGTGGGTCATAAATGCGCGAGTCCTCCGCGGCCTCCCAGAGCTGCGTCTCCAATCTGACCATGGCGGTGAGTTTGCCTCCAGTTAGCTTGGCCAGTTCTGTCGTGCGGAGGGCATCACCCAGTTGTACACCCTGCCGGACTCCCTGCAGCAGAATGGGGTCGCTGAGTAACGCATCGGTTTGTTCACCTATGGACGCACTCCCAGCGGCCGCAGGTTTCGCTGACCCTCCCCTGCACCGGGTTCCCTGGTGACGCATCTGTGTTCCACGTCTGGGGCTGTCTCTCTCACGTCCGTGCCTCTGGCACGGACAAGCTCACGGCCCATACTGTCCCCTTTGTCTTCCTTTGTTTCCCCTTTGACGCGTCTGATTGGCACTTTTACCACCCGCCTTCTCACCACTTCTTTCACTGACGTGATGTCACTTTTGACCAGACTGTCTCTTTCTACCACCGCTTTCCTCACTGAGGTCTCCTGGTTTCCCCGCCCCTATTTCTGGTTCCCACTCCCTCGCTCGTCAGGGCCCCGCGGCTACGGTTTCGCCGCTTGTCTCCGCCCCGGTGTCTCCTCCTCTGCCACCACAGCAGCAACAGCAATCGCCGTCGCCGCTGCAGCAGCACCAGCAGCCGCTGGCGCAGCTGCAGCCGCCGCAGGGGTCCACGCGTTCTGGGGGTGCTGGCGTTGAGGAGGGTGCTAGTCCTTGGGTTACTGTCGTGGCTTGTCCTGGAGGTCTTGCGGGTGGCACCGATGCATGAGAGGGTTCTTTTTGTGGGGGTGCTGGTTCTTGGGGTGCTAGTCCTGGGGTTCCTGTCGTGGCTCGTCCCGGCGGTCTTGGGGGTGGCACCGGTGTTGGAGAGGGTTCTTGTTCTGGGGTTGCTGGAGTGGAGCGTTCCGGAGGTAGCCGTGGTGCAGCTGGAGGTTCTGGTGTCGGTGTGGCGCAGCAGCGGCAATTGCAGCAAATGTCCGCCCTTCGCCTCCTCGGTCTTCCCTCTCCTGACTCCCCACCTGTGCCTCCCCTGCCGCCGCCTCCTCTGCTTGTCTACGACTTTGTGTTTCCTCCGCCGGACTCGTCTTCGGCTTGTTCCCCCCTCGTTCCCCTCCTATCTCTCCTCCTCAGTCTCCTGACCCGATGCTTCCGTCTCACGTATGGTCCCGCCGTCCCTCCCGTGCTCGTCCTGTCTCTCACGTTCAGTGCTCTCACCTTATGTTGCTTCGTTACCACGTGTCTTGTCCTCCCCTCCTCTTGTCACCTCCTCCGTCGTCATTTGTTGTCTCTCGGCCTCCTCTGTCTGACTTCCTTCGTGCCGCGAGTCCTCTTGTTCCCCGGGTCCTTGCCTCCCTTGTAACCGACTGTTCTGTTCCTGTCTCAAGTCTTGACGCACTTGTCCCTCCCGTCGTTCAACTTCTCCATGAGTGTGCAACATGTTTCCAGAAGTTTATTATCTCGTATTTAATCACTCGTAGGAAGCCATAGCTGCCACTACACAGATTAAAAAAAAAATATCCGCCCGCTCCTCGACGTACAACTCCCCCCACTACGTATAGGGTGTTTTAGCCTCGCGAAAAGGCGACCTCGGGAGTTTTAGTGGCGTCAATAATGGGACGATTTAGGATTGGCGAGTAGGATACAGTTCCCACCGTAATTTGCGAGGCGAGCTACTCTAAGTCCCGCCAGGAGCCCCCGAGAACTAGTGCGACAAATAGCTCGGGCTACGTGGAGCACACATAGATTGAACAATAGGAGCATGTCCACCCATCCCGTCGGTAAAGCATGCGGGGAGAAGAGGGCGAGGAGAGGCGGATGTTAGGGTTAGGAGAGTGGGAACAGATGGCGAGGATGTTGAGCATAGCCCTAATCCTGCGAAGGCTGCAAAAGTCTGCTGAAGTGGCATATCAACGAAGTCTGTGGACACGAGCCCTGCAGAAAGGCCTGTCGACGAAGGGCAGATTTGTCACGGCGAGGCTCTGCGGAAAACGCTAGTGGCAGAGGAGAAGTTTCGTTGAAGTGGCAGAAGAGTGTTTCCGTCGAAGTGGCAGAAAAGCGATTCTGTCGGAGTGGCAGAATAGGAGCACTTTTTCTGCAAATGGCTTCTACATCGACAGGTGCTTTTGTAGAAGCGATCTCAAGAGAGTACAAGACCCCTTGCCGAATTGGCAGCAGTGGCCATTCGCAGATGGGTTGTCCTCTGCTGAAGTATTGCGCAGAAGACATTTCTGCAGGTGATCCTTTCGGCACGGTCGACTCTTGGAAATGAGTTCCAACAGGACCTCGGGCAGAGTGGCGCAAGGACCTGCTCGCGCATACTTGCGTTCTGCCGAAGTTCGGCAAATAGGCAATTCGGCTATCTCTTCTGTAGTCGACCCCCTCGGCAGAAACGAAATTCGACAGAAGCGCGACAAAGAGTCATCTTGGACTTCGCTTGTGCGAACGACCCCTTAGGCAAAAATGACATAGTTTTTCAAAAGATGGCGTTCCGAAATCGCGAGAAAACGACAAAATCCGATCTGGACCGAAAACGACAAAATCTACATGAGACATTGAGAAATGGAACAAGTGACGCGCATTTCGTAACTGCGGAAATGTGCGTAACATCTGACATTTTCACACATGAAACTGTTGAAACAACTACTTCTGAGTGGGTAAAAATTACCAACCAAGCAAGTGCAGAAATTTTCACCTGACATTGCTGACTTGGCTAAGCGCAGCTTAGAGTAGTTATGTAAATGTTCTCGCGCGAACGTTCTCCGTGCTCAATGAGGTTCAATGTGGTAGTACTAGTGTTTGCCTTGTGTACCAACTTGATTCTAGTGAATTTGTATGCCCAAGCATTCTCAAGCTACTCAATGAAACACACAAAACTAAAGGCAACTCTCTCTTTAAAGAACTACAGAGCTAGAGAGCTCTATCTGCATCAGGCACTTCCGCATAAGCTCCCGTTATAGCAGAAAATTCTGCATGGTGCGGTGAGCGTGGAACGAACATGCGAATGATAGAGGCTGAACTACTTCATTAGGTCTCGCAGAAGGTCTCAATTTTCGATATGACGGACGACAAGTCGGACGTTCGTGAGGTGGTCGACGATCTCGAGGCACAGGAGGCTGCCGTGATAGTCTGCTATGCTGACCTCCCAGAGAAGGAGCTCAACTTCATGCTGATGGGGTTACGAGCTCAATGGGAGATGGAGCATCCGCGGGCGCGTGCAGCGGAAGTCTCCCGAGACAAGGAGAACGTGAAAGGTTTTGCGGAAGGCAGAGTGCAAGAGTCGCGTGGTGTTCTACGAGAATGAGAAACGTCAAACAGGGCGACGCAAAGGACCGTGCAAAGGAGTCAAGCTCGAAGAAGAAGAGCGCTGCTGAAGAAGGCCGTTCTGGCGGTCGTGACGGCGCGGACAACGCTGCCGACGGCTCTTCCTAGAGAGTCTTCCTCCCGACAGCCTCGAAGTATGGAGGGATTGCTCATGAATTCGGCTACTTCAAGTTTTCTCCTGACAAAATCGTGGTGCCAAGGCTCCTTGAGGGACGGCATGACTTGGCGTCGTGGGTCGAATCCATCGAACCTCAGCTGGAGATTGCGCAATTGAGGCAGTTTGTCGACAGGTCAATGAGAGCCCCTTCTATGTCGGATGCATCGCGGTACGTGCGGTTCTGCTTTGCACAGCTGCTGACATTCATGGTGATCGCGCGCTGCTGCTCGCCCGCTGTGAAGATGGTGTTGAAGGCAAGTCGTCTGCGAGTGGATGCGGGCTACCAGGTGTGGCATTTCATCATGAAGACTTACAAGGCTACTGACGATCTCTACATTGGTCAGTTGGAGCAGAGTCTGGAAAGTCTGAAGATGGCAGAGTACGAGACTGCTACGGCTTACTGCACTCGTGCGCAGCAGTTGCTGGCTAATCTACGGATGACCGGAGTGCGGTACTCGATGGCTTCCTACATGACGCACGTCGTCAAGGGTCTCCCGGTGCTGTACAGCTATCTATGGCGCATGATCAAATTTCCGGATGTGCGGAAAACCCTAGACGAAAACACTATGACGAGCTACATCGTTGAGGAAGAGTCTACCCTTGCGATCGAGCAGTGCAAGGAGTTTCCTCTGCCACAATCCAACTGGGCATCGACGGGACAACCACCTCGGCAGCAGCAGCAGCAGAGGTGATGGGCTTCTTCTACAAATGACTCCACCGCGGAGCAGAAGGACGGCGATAACGACAAGAAGAAATCGGCCAAGAAGAACAAGGATAAAACCTGCTTCGTTTGCGGTGAAATCGGTCACTTTGCTGCTTAGTGCCCAGATCGCAAAGGCAAGAGGAACAATGATCATTCGTAGAAGTGGGAAAGTAACACGCCCTCTGGCGTGCACAGTGGTGGCTCTTTTGCGAGCTCTGGTTCTGCTGATCGAAAGGGACCCTCGTGTGTGATGGTTGAGCCGATTGTAGAACAGCAGATTTCGGACAATCTACCCATCTCGTTCGATCCAAAGGATGGCGAAGACTTCCAGGCGATCGCAGCTGCTGTAGAAGCCAACCCCGAGGTCATTCTATTGGAGAGTGGATGTTTGCCCTGCTTAATTGGAGATGACAAGGCCTTTGTCAAAATGCACAAGGACAGCAAAGTTCAGCAATTGCGCGGATTTAACGGTGCCATCCAAGCTGTTCAAGGATGGGGAACCATATGCTCTGCTATGGCAAGGCTAGGAAGAGGATTTTGGTTCCAGATGTACTCTACGTCTCTGGAATCCAAGCCAATCTGCTTTCTGCCGAGCATCTGAAGGACTACAGAGTGACGCTGAAGGACAATGGCGAGGAAACTATCTTGGTCTCTGCCGACGGCGTTCTGCTCAAGTGAGCTCGATACAAAGGCTGGGTTCTCAGCACCAATCTGCAGCCATGGCCATGGCAGAAGCCTGCGGCAGAGGCGATTGCTCTGCGCACATTGGCGACTGATGCGCGCTCCTCTACAGACGTGTGTGGCATGCTCGTCTGGCCCATGCTGGGGTCGAGACAATTTGGCGGACTGCGGCGCACGGAGCAGTTACGGGCTTGGAGATTGAGAAGACACCGAGCACTAATATGCCG